AAATGTCCATCAAGAAAATGAATAGTTACATTAGGATATAGTCTACCTTGAAATGTTATACAATAATTAAAGTAGCTGAAGTTACATGTATAAAAAGAAATTTGGGATTGATACCTATATTATGATGCCAATTATGTGAGACTTAGTAATAAGAAAAACAATAGTCTACTCCTATGATGCAAAAGTACTAAAACATCATACCTGGGAGGTGAAAATCACCAAATTCAAAATAATGATTCTCTGTGGGAAAGGAAAGAAAGAAATATGAACAAACAGAGATTCACAAGGGATTCAAATATATCTGTAGAAGTGTATTTGAAAAGAATATTAAAAGAATTTCAAGTTCTGATTAAGTTGGATGAATACATAAGTATTCATTTTATTATTCTTTAAATTTTCCTTTATCTTTGAAATATTTCAGTATAAAAATGTTTTTTCATCCCACTCATTAAGTATTGGTGTGAAAATTAAATAATTTTGGTGAAAAAGTGCCATTTTATTAATCTGCCCAAAGGGTCAACATCTCTGAGTGCTTCTCAGGTCCTATATAATTTGATAACAATAGAGCCAGGTCCCACCCTTGAGATAAACATTATACTTCATGGAAGCAACCTACAGAATAACATCCAGCTCTTCCAGTGTTCCATTAAACAGGGTCAGGGAGGTTGGTCCTCATCCAATGATTAGTCTGCAAGACTGTTGTGAACTGAACCGTGTTCCTCCAAGTTTTGTATATGAAAGCACTAACCCCTAATATAATTCTGTGTAGACAGAGGACCATTAAAGAAGCAGTTAAAGTTAATATGAGCATAAGCATGGAGCTCTGCTCCAATAGGAGTGGGATCCTTATAATATGAGGAAAGTGTGTCAGAGAAAAGGCCAAATGAAGACGTAGCTAGGAGGCTGTTTGTAATACAAGAAGAGGGGCTGCAGGAGAAATCAAACCTACCAACACCTTGATCTTGGACTTCCAGCCTCGATAACTATGAGAAAATTAATTTATTTGTTTAAGTCTTCCAATGTGTGGCATTTTGTTATGGAAGCCCTAGAAAACTAATACAACTGTTGTAGCATTGAAAGAAATAGATCAAATGGAAACCCAGCAACAGATCAAAGACCAGAAGCAGAAAAGGTAGCCAATCTATGAGCCTGAAAGGGCCACAGGAGCAGCAAATAGCCATGCCGGCAAAATTGTTAGCAGTACTAGATTGGTTAAGACAGGGATTGCTCATGGGCACCAAAGCCGGCACTTGCCTTATTCAAACATCAGGTGATTTTCAATCTGGCTGAATACCCAGCATAAATTCCATACATAGGTAGAAATAGATTTTGTTTCAGCTGTTGCATGAATAGGGGCTTTCTTTGCTTTAAGCCTTACACTATATTTGTATTATTTCTAACCTGACACCCTATGAATTCTGGCATATTAGCAAAAAATACAGTTTTAGTCCCCAACTACCTAATTCATAGTTTTAGAAATCGCAAACAAGGGCAAAAGATAAACACCACACGTATATCTGTTAAGGTTCAAGTTCATTCTCTTTGGTTCTTGTCCCCCCTCCTCCCCTCCAAACAAAGAATTGAAAGGCAGAGACCCAATGGGGAGGGAGGGCAGGGAGCAAAACCTCCTGATTTTATTTTAATGGGATTAGGATGAGGGGCATTTTGGTGATTCTTAGCTTTGTCTGATTGCACCTGTATTGGGAACTGGTTGGAACCACTTTGGCCTGGTCCTTATAACTTGCAAGGAAGTTATTTCCCTGCAAAGCCTTTGTTGTCTTCAAGTGGGACCCCCTAACTAAGAGGTTTTTTCCTTGAACTTTATGTTGCCATTCTCCAGCTGCCAATGTCTATCTTTCCACCTAACATGTCTTAGGTTCAATTAATTTCAAATAAGTTAGTGTTTGAGCTTTTAAAGTAATATAGGTGCTACCCATTACTGCCTCTTCTCAGATATGGGTACATTTTGCCTTTATTATTTTTGGATGAAAGTATTGTTTTGAGCTGAAAGGGAAGATGTGATATGAAGAGCTGTGCTGAGGAGAGTTAAGACAAAGGAACAACCAAATGAAAATAAACAAACGTGGTACTGACCACCAAATAAACATTAGATTTTTATGGAAACAAACAATGAATATAATACCTTTTCTAATATCTATCAGTTTTTGAACCCTTATTCAGCACTTGGTTTCATGTTCTGCCTTTTATATGCTGTATTCCATTCAATCCTTAAAACCACACTATATGGTAGATACTAAGATTAGCCAAAATTGTCATATGAGGAAACTATGATTTTAGTGACATCAATTAATCTGCCCAAGGACACATAGCTAATAAGTATTAGGATCCAAACCTAGTTCTGTCTGATATTTAAACCTGGGTCTTTAACTATCATAACACACTGAAGCAACAAAGGATATATGTTACTTTTAAGAATTGTAAAGGTTAATGTGAAGCTTTGCATTCTAATTCTCTTGTGCATCGTCAGCCATCAGAAAAGAATGAAACTAAAAAGTGACTCTATTTTGCCCTGCATCATTTCAGGACACTCTGTGCTCTGACTCATGTTTGCTGATGACTCTGAGCAGCTGACATCTCTGTAACACACCAATTGGAGCAGAACAGCAAAGCTCTCATCAAGCTGAAGTTGGCCCTTAAGGTAGTGTGCAGACCTATCCTCAGAGGACTCCATAATCAGATTTGGGAAGTCTGGAAGGAGGCCAGACTTTCTATTCAATAGGAGTGGGCTGAAATTCAGATGTAAATAGAAGAGAAAGTCTGCTGTGCCAGTGGAAAATAACTATGTAGCCTTGGATTTTCCATTTAGCATAAATGCTGCAATGATTCATCCCAGAGTTGATAAACATGTTTTCCAAAGTGAAAGGCAGACAGACAAGGTGCAGTTCCCAGCTAGAAGGGCTTTATTACTGAAAGGATTGCACCTCCACCATGCTGGAAATGGATTGGTACTAGGGGCACAGTTTTTCCTTTCAATGAAAGGCAGACAAGGGAAACTCTAGCAGTTTATTACGGAACAGTTTGAGATGGGTCCTTAGCATTGCTTTTCTTGTAGCTTATATTGATAGGGAAAAATTTACAAGGACACAATCCAGTCCAGGTGGCTCCCTTTTGCTTCTCTTCTTAGCAAAGACAACAGAAACTCCCCCTCCCCTTCACTTCCCGCTCTGCCAGGCACTCACTCCCTACACTTACATGCCCTTGCTTGCTCCTTTGCTGTGCACGTAGAAATGCTGCAGATACGGAAGCAGAAAGATATATATTGCTCCCCTTGCCTTTGTTCAGGGCTCAGACCTTGGTGATTACTCCCCTCTGAGCCCACTGTTGTAAAAGTAAAACCTCAACACTCCAAGACCTCTGAGTACCGCTTGGTTCTTTCATCAGCGATCCATTCCAGGTTTTTCTGTAACAATATGGCAATGGATCTCTAGTGTCATATTCAGGATTCACACTGATAACAGGTATGCAAGAAATGTTCCTTGTCTCACTGACAGGATCACTAATGTATTCCCAATCCTCACAGGAATAAAGAGGACCACAGACTCAAACTTCAAAAATGTGACTGTCATTGTTTACCCAGGATCTACATGCAGAAAGAAATTAAGCACATAGCCACTAGGTACATGCAGGGGAACTACCATACCTCAGTTATTAACAAGCCAAGCTTGCTTCAAGGTTCTCTTTTAGATGTAGCTCACCACCATTACCACCCCCAGGCTTTCAAGAATTCCAATTCAGAAGAGAAAGAAACTTGTGCTCACAAGTAAACTTCCAAAGTCTCCTTGGAAGGGAATACTGGTAATATATATTTGAAGGGAGGTCAGTTGCATTTGACAATAGTGAAAAGTGGAATATTTTCCAGAAGAAAGTGTAGTATACAGTGAAGAACTCTGCAGGGGGCCTGATGGTAGTTCAGGAAAATAAAACAATATTAAGAATATTTTGTTCATGGTGTTTTTAACTTTTCAAATTTGTGACATGAAATTCTTTTGGTTCTGCATGAATGAATTGCTTTTTCATTACCTAACAGTGTTACGCAGATTGAAGGGGAATTGTTAAGTTCATGAACTAAACACACAATTTTATTGTGAAATAGCCAAGTGGTGCATCATTTAGGTATTTGGCTATAGGTCTGAGGCTTAGAAGAGAGGTCAAGATAAAAATATAAATTTGATTTATATTCATGACTTAAAATAGGAGGAAATATTAATGCCTAAGAAATGTGTATAAATCTAATTATGTAGATGGCCTATATTTGAGCCTTATAAAATTCTAATATTTAAAGGTCTGATATAGAGAAGGAGCTGACAAGTGGCACTAGAAAGGGCCGCCTAAGAAATAAGAAGATACTGTTACAGTAGGTAGATAATTAGCCATAAGCAGGGAGAGGGAGGGGGACTTTGTTAGAACACTTGCCTGCTTACATTTTACACATTCTGTACAAGCTGTTCCCAAGGGATGGGGAGTGGGAGTATAGATAATAGACTGGCCCACACTGGCTGGTTCCATCATGGAGTAGGAGCTGACCCTGATTTCACCTCCAAATACACTATACATTCATTAACATAGTAAAATTCATACCCCTCCATCATTAACATAGTAAAAATCATGCCTCCCTGTGCCATGACAGTTCTGAGAAACACCAAATATAGCTAAAAATCTTCCCCTCCTGTGTGAGAGTGGAGTAAGCATGAACACCAGGGAGACTGTGCCTGTTCCCTTTGAAACCTAAATCTCATTAGTGAATATTCACCTTCCCTCATATACAAAAGCTCTGTATCATTTCCTGTGCAATCCCCCCACTAGGCCTGCCCACATTCAAACATCTCCAGCAGCAGGTGAGGGAGGGCGCAACAAACACAGGCTTAAATCTTAATATCTTTTTCTCAGGTTCAGGTTCCTTATCTTAAAGTTAGAAAAAAAATTAAGCTATGGAATATCTATGTTTTTGTGTATGTATACATATACATTTGCATACACACACAGATATATATACATATATAACCTTACACAGCTTGTGATAAATATGGAACAAATATAGGCCCTATTTTAATAAGGTGTTATTCAGAGGTGTTATTCAAATTATTTAACAATAAGAGTGAGGCAGAGGGAGAGAGTTTGCCTGACCAATGAGAATAAATATTGGTCAGTGTAAGAATGAGTTAGCATGAGAATGGCCATCTTAAGGGCCAAAAAGCCATTTTCTGAGTGCATGACTCAGGAAAGGAGGAACTGGGAAAGGCTTAATAAACAGGTTTTGAAGAACAAGTTAATCATGGACACGGGGTTGTGGGCGGCTGCGACCCTTGGTCAGCTAATCATGGACACCAGGTTGTGGGCGGTTGTGACTCTGGTCAGCTTATCTTGCTGAACCACCCTAACATTTGAGGAGTGGTCTTATCTTGCTTTTGCTTAACCCCCAGGATGTTGCACAAGCCAAAAATTATGGAAAATTGCTGTGAGTAAGTGCTTTTTGAAAATGCCATATAAACCTCTGGCTTTGAGTGCTCTGGGTCCTTGTTGAAACTCGCTGCATCGGCAGACACTTGGACCCCAGCTAGCTGGAAATAAACCTCGCTGTGTGACTTGCATTATTGTGAGTGTCTTCTGTCTATTTGAGAGGTAGTCGACTCCAGACCCTAACATTTTGGGGGCTTGTCCGGGATCGCTAGAATCCTCCTCAGGGAGACAGATGACCCCTGATACCAAGGTTTGCTCAGAAGCTGCGGAAGGAGGTTTGGCCACCTCCAAGAGGGGAGGGCATCCTCGACTGGAGAGACTGAAACTGATCTCTGCCTGATCCTAAAAGGGGAGGACTGAAACAGGTCCTTGACTGGAGAGACTGAAACAGGTCTCCGCCTGGTCTCAATTGAAAATTCTCATGGAAAGGAAGGAATGGGTTATGACCCTGGAAGTCTCCATTACTGAAAGTCACGGGAGACGTCCCCGATGAGGCGGTGCCCGAACGACGTCTGCAGTGGACGCCGTTTGGACAGCTAGTTAAGGATCCTGAGCATTGTGTGATTGAGATGGCACCTGTGGATGTGGTGTGGCTGACCGGCCGGTGGGTGTTTGAAAACTCAGTTCGAATTTGTATGTTTGCTTGCTTTGTGTCCCTTGTCTTTTCCTGGCTTCTTTTGTAATAATAATGGGACAGGCTCAAGTAACACCTTCTAACTTCATCAATCTCATGGAACCTGATGCTCACCGCTGCAAGGTAAGAGACCTACACTTAGCTCTTATTCCTGACTAAATGCTGCACTTTTTATCTCATAAAAATGTATCTGGGCACCCGTTAGCCACTTAAAAGACAATTAGCATCAGCTACCAGTCTTAAGTCTCGAGTGAAAGGTTTCCCGGTGTCTGCCGCTCCTTGATCCCCCGCCTCTAGACAGACAGGAATGTCGGGGAGTAGTTGAGTCGATTTCCTACTTTCTTCCTCCAAATGTTAAAAGGAAGCAATTTATACCTTTCTGCTTCTTTATTTGTAACATTCTTACATGCACAGCAAGCGAGCAGGCAAGGGGGAGTTTTGGGAGTGAACCTTGGGAACTGGTGCTCAGCAGAGCAGGGAAACCAAGGGAGTGTTTTTATTTGTTTGTTTGTTTGGGTTGGAGAGGGGGGCGAGGCAGAGGGGAGCCACTTCGTAAATTACTGTCCTTGTAGTGTTGTTTATCTTAAGGAGGGAGGGGTGCGAGACAGAGTGGAGCCACCCGCTAGGTTGCTGTCCTTGTAAATTTTCCCTATCATTCCCGCGGACTCCAAGGGCAGAGCAGACTAGTAGACAGTGGTCCTGAGATCTCAGCTCTGGCTGATTGATCCGATAGCGCTGAGTGAACCTCCAGCTAGGTTGCTGCCTATGCGGGAGTTGCAGATGACCCCCAACCTCTTGTCTCAGTGATCAGATTTGTTATAGTGGGTGATTGGTGAGATAATTTCCAGGCAGTGGCAGAAACTGGTGTTTGAAAAGTATAGGCTCCCCCCCCACACACTAAATGTCTGTGGCAGCCCCTGAATTTTATTTCTGGCCTTAGCAAAAATTTCCTTGCTCTCCATTCAAAGCAGTCCTCTTAGGCCTGCACCACTTTCTCCTGTATAATGTAAATGAAGTCTGTAAAGTAAACAAGCTGAAACCTGACACCAACATTTAAATGACTATTCTGTTGATTTCCTTTCCTTAGAGGCACTCGTCCTGGGGCTGGGCATTTCCTTTTCTGCAGCCCTGGGAAAGCAAAACAGACTTGTGACATAGATCAGGGCTCTGGCAGCAAGAAGTCACACAGTCCCTGCACTTATCAGACAGGCAGGGGGCTTTCAAGGAAAGCTCATGCAGAGAAAACTAGGGAAACTCCCAAAAGGCATAAGTAAGAGCACACTAGTAAGGTCCCACTAAATCCAGAGCTCCGAGGTGACTCTTGTTGAGTGAGAAGGCAAGAGGGGAATCAAGGCAAGGTGCAGGCCGCACTAGTAAGGAGTGGTTAAGTCCAGTAGGCCTGGCAGAGGAGGTGATTGACCACTATCACCTAAGCTCCAAAGCGAGGGGACGCCCTCACAGAGAGAGGCTGACCAGGTGCTGGACACCTGTCTTTCTCTCTCTTTCAGATGGGAGCATCCTCTTCAAGGTTAAAGCCAGACATGCCTCTGGCATGCATTCTGAGGAACTGAGAGCAATTTTGATTCCCAGACCCTGAAAAAGAAGAAAGGTCTTATCTTCTGCACACAAGCCTGGCCTCAATACAAACTCTCTGATGGAGAGGCTTGGCCCCTGAGAGAAGTATGCAATATAATAAAGTTATGCAGCTAAATTGATTTTAATGCAAGGAAGGAAAATAGTCAACAGTCCCATAGACTACAATGTAGAACTAGTTTTGCAAATTATTTTAGTGGAAATCTATTCTACTTATTGGGTTCATTATCTTCAAAAACTGAAAGGTTTTTTTTAACTAGACACCCTGAAACAAAAGAAATGTATCTTCTGTAATACAGCCTGGCTTTAAATGACTGATGCTAGAATTGTACTTGCATTTCATTTCCAGCCCCCTGGACACACACACAAGTCTCTATCAGTTCAGAGCCTTCATCAGCCCCATTCGTATAGGGCCATCTAAACCTTAACCCAGTTATATAAACTGCTCGCCCGTAGAGTATATTCTTGAAAACTAAGATACTTCTAGTCAAATAAGCTAAAAGGAAAGGCAATTAAATATCAAAACTCAAGTCTCTGTGTCAGTTTATCTGTCTGTGTATATGTTCTTTTTATGAAGAGCGCTGCTAACTGTAGTCATTATGTCTCAGTCCGTATGTTTGTGTGTCTAAGCAAAGATTTTTTCTACCTCCAGATGAATGAA